TCCTGCTCAACCTCAACCTCTGCCCGCTGCAGCCGTTGTTTCTGCTCCTTCTCCTCCAGATCGGCCATCTCCTGCTCGGTCTACTTCAGAGCCTAACAACGCATCCATCCCCGTCGACCTGACGGACGACTAGCTTAGGATTTTTTGTTCTTTTTGTATTTCTTTTTTGTATTTTTGTGTTAATCAATGAATTCATTTACCAAATGTACTACACATGTAAAATTTCATTGATGAAATGCAAATTCGAATCTTTTGTTTCAAGATTTCTGTGTTGAATGTTTAGTAAATCACTGTTTACAAATGATTAGTAACGACCTGAACACTAACAACATACACGTTAACTGTAAAACTTCCTAAGATTATGTATGTTCCAAATAAATGGTAATGGGTGACCTTGTAAATCTGCCAACTGGTAAGACCCAGGTCGTTGAATAGAAATAACCATTTAAGGCCCTTCCCAATTAGGAGCGAGCTTGCCCATATGTGAATAGACATTGGTTAATCCAGCTTTGCGTAGAACCAGATCGCCGACCTGAAACTACCGAGCTTGAACTCTTTTGTTATAGAACTTTGCAACACGACTTTGGTGCGCCATGTTTCTAATTCGAGCCATTTCCCTGACTTCCTCCACTAGGTCTAGGTTCTCTCTTAAGAGTTGCCCATTATTCTGATCGTCATGATGATCTGATCTAGCAGATGGCAACCCGACTTCGACAGGGATTACGGCCTCAACTCCATACGCCAGGCTGAACGGGGTTTCGCCTGTGGCCGAGCTAGGTGTAGTGTGACATGACCAAAGCACTTTATTGAGCTCGTCAACCCAATTGGAACGCGCGGCTATAACACGCGTCTTGAGGCCTCGCAAGACGATCTTATTGGCAGACTCGGCCTATCCGTTTGACTGCGGAGTATATACAGACATCAAGGAGAGCTCAATGCCATAGTTGTTGCAGAATGACCTCAGTGCGGCGGCTCGGAACTGTGGACCGTTATCAGCAATGATCCGTTTGGGTATGCCAAACCTGAAAACAGATGACCGAGCTGAGCCGCAAATTGTACTTATATATAATGTGCAAATGGCTTAAGTCACCGAAGAATACCTGCATAATATTGAGCTAAACAAGAATTCTTCTATTTTCTTCTCTGTTGTTGTGGACAACGGCTTAGCTTCTATCCATTTGGTGAAATAATCCACCGCGACAACGAGGTAAGTACAACCTCCTTTGCCTTTCACAAAAAGGCCGAGTAGGTCGACTCCCCATTGAGCAAAAGGCCATGGAGATGAGAGTGGTGAGAGTGTGTCCCCTGTTTCAACATAGAATTCTATGCTCAATTAATAGACAAACATGGAGTTTGCACGAACTTCAGAACGAGCTCAGATACCTGGCATGTGAATGTCATCAGCATTGAACTGGCAGGTCGAGCATTTTTTGACATAATTTTGTGCATCCTCGACCATAGTCGGCCAATAATACCCATGCCTCAAGAGCTTCCGCGCCAAGGTTTTGCCTCCAATGTGTGTGCCACATACTCCTTCATGGACTTCTCTTACAGCATATTCAGCTTCGTAAGGAGTGAGACAACGTAATAGGGGCATAGAGGCTGCCCGCTTGTAGAGCTGATTATCTATCAAAGTGAAATGAGCCGCCCTACGTCTAATCAACTTGGAAGCAGATGGATCTTCAGGTATCTCACCACTTTGCAGATAATTTATGAGCGGGGTGGTCCAGCTCTGTGTAGAGGGATCTGTGCTTAGCAACTGACACTCGACTGTGAAATCAGTGTAGCTTGGTGCGTCGAGTACCTTGACAATTGTTGATCTCTGAGGGTTAATGTCCTGCGAGGAGGCCAACTTTGACAGCTGGTCAGCTCGGTGGTTATCTGCCCTTGGTATTTTATCAATTTGGAAAATGACAAAGATCGACTTCAATCTGTTGACCACAGAGGCATAACGACCGAGTTGGGGATCCCTGATTTCATAACTGCCATTCACCTGGCCCACAACGAGCTGAGAGTCGCTGAAAACCTGAATGCTTTGTACCTTCAGTTCGAACGCCAGCTTCAGTCCGTAAATGAGGTCTTCATATTCTGCAGCGTTATTAGTCGTCTGAAACTTAAACCTCAGTGCGTGCTCAGACTTAAAGCCATCTGGGCCCACTAACACAGCCCCAGCACCCGACCCTTCAATGTTAGCTGCTCCATCAACATACAAAACCCAGGCTGGGTGTTCGGGTGCTTTTTCTTCCATAGTTGCTGAGATGCACTCCACCAGAAAGTCTGCAACAGCCTGGCCTTTTATGGTTGTGTGCGGCCGAAATTTGAGGTCATATTCACTCAACTCAACGCTCCACCTAATAAGCCGACCAGAGAGATCAGGTTTCTGCAGTATTTTTCTCAATGGCAAGTCGGTATAGACAATGATCTGATGTGATTGGAAGTAAGCCCTCAACTTACGAGCTGTGTAAACTAGGGCAAAGGCAGCCTTTTCTACTAATGGGTAGTTCTGCTCTGCACCTTGTAAAACCTTACTCATGTAGCAGATAGGCTTCTGATTCTTATTCTCTTCCCTGAGCAGGGCTGAGCTCACTGCCTCTCCTGTAACCCCCATGTATAGGTATAAATTCTCCCCTTCCACAAGCTTGGACAACAGGGGTGCAGATGCCAGATACTGCTTGAGCTCGTCAAATGCCCGTTGACACTCATCAGTCCATTGAAAATGCTTGGGCTCTCGCAAGGCTTTGAAAAACGGTAGGCACCTTTCCGCCGACCTGGCTATGAATCTGTGCAACGTGGTTACACGACCTGTCAGGCGCTACACATCCTTTATAATCCTAGGAGGCTCCATCTGCTGAACGACCAGAACCTTCTCTGGGTTCACTTCAATTCCTTTCTTGGATACCACGTACCCTAGGAATTTTCCTGATTCTACAACGAACGTGCACTTCAGGGGATTCAGCTTCATTTGGGCTCGGCGTAAGTTTTGAAAGGTCTCACTCAGGTCGTCTATATGATCCTCCGCTCGTGCACTGGTGATTATCATGTAATCCACATATACTTCTATGTTCTTGCCGATCTGCAGCTTGAAGATGATTTGCACCAGCTTTTGATATGTAGCGCCAGCGTTTTTCAAGCCAAACGGCATCATGACATAGCAGTAGATCGTGTCACCAACATAGAAGGCTGTTTTCTCCTGGTCATCTAGCAGTAACTGAACCTGGTGATATCCTGAGCTAGCGTCAAGGAAACTCATCCGCTCATGCCCGGTCGCCCGCTCTACTAGCTTTTCAACATTTGGCAAGGGGTGAGGGTCTTTTGGACATGCCTCATTTAGGTTGGTGAAGTCAATACACATCCTCCACTTGCCATTCGGTTTTTTGACGAGCATAGGGTTGGACACCCACTCAAAGTATTCCACTCTCCTGATGAAGCCTGCCTGTAGTAGCTTTTATATTTCTTCATCTATAGCAGCTTGTTTCTCTTGGCCAAAAAGGCGACGTTTCTGCACCACCGGCCTTCTGGTGGGGTCCGTGCTGAGTTTGTGGACTGTCAACTCCGTTGGGATGCCAGGCATTTCATCAGTAGTCCATGCGAACACATCTTGATTGACCCTCAAAAACTCCAGAAGCTCTGTTCGTTCTTCTTCTGTGAGCTTGGTGCCAATCTTAACTGTTCTTTCCGGCACATCAGGGTTTAAAGGAACGGTTTCTATTGGCTCTATTGGCTCTGCTTTCTGCTCGACACCCTCAGGTCTATGCTTAATGTCCGATATGCTCATTGTCCGTTGGCCGGGCTGAGTCAGCCTACTACTTTCAGAGCTCCTAGGGGCTACAGCGAGCTCAACCTTCTTAAACGTATCCTGATAACATGCCCTGGCCATCCTCTGATTCCCCTTTAGCACCCCAACCCCTTGAGGCGTTGGGAACTTCATGCAGAGATGGGGCTGTGAAATAACAGCCTTCAGCTCGCACAGAGTAGCCCTTCCTAATATGGCGTTGAAGGCTGACTCCATTTTGACGACCAGGAAGCTAACTGAAGCCATCCTGAAGCGTGGTTCTGAACCCACATAGATGGGTAGCGTTATGACCCCTTCCACCGGGACGAGTTGATTATCAAACCCGTAGATGGGTCCTTCATATTTCTGCAGCGAGCTCGGGTTCAACTGCATCTTCTGGAAGCAGCTCCAGTAAATGATATCTGGTGAGCTACCCGTATCAATAAAGACATTGTTGACGTTATGATTACCTATATGGACCGCTGCCACAAATGGATCTGCGTGAGGCATCATAACGTTGGGTTCTCCGTCTGCTCGCTTATAATCTACTGGGCTGAATGTGATAGCTGCATTCTCCCACTCTGCCTCCTCAAACGGCCGCTTCAAGGGCCTGTTTTTGTTGACTGTCATCACCTGGCGGGCATATGCCTTGCGGGCCCGGGCACTCTGGCCCCCTGAGTGCATACCACCAAAGATCATATTGATTGTGCCAGATGGTGGGGGTATTCCACCATACCCAACCCCTCTGTGGTCATTTTGATTCTGTGTAGGTGCTTTCTGTCCTTGCCCACGCCTACTGAATGGGCGTCCCCTGTATGCTCTGTTCGGCTCAGATGAGTACGGACCTGCCTGGTAAGAATTTGGATTGTTACCGAGCTGATATCCAGGTGCTTGAGATCGGCCGTACTCTTGTACAAAGTGGGTCTGGGTGGGTTGCCGAACAAAAGGCTTCTGCACATACCCCTCCAATTTCCCATTGCGAGCCAAGAATTCGAGCTCATCCTTCAAACTCTGACAGTCTTCTGTGTTATGGCCGTAGACACGGTGATAGTCGCAGTATTTGCTTCTGTCATCTCGTGAAGAATCGTGCGTTTGTGGAGGGGGTCTCTTGACCCAGTGCTGTATCTGCGCCAATATCTGGGATCATGACTAGCTCAAGGGGATGTAGCTGTCATATTTTGGATAGGAAGGCGGCTTCCCTCTCTGCTCACCAACCTTCTGTTTCTTCTTGTCATCTCTGTTTTCAGGTTGCTTGAGCTCTTTTCCTTGCTTGTCATCAGCTTGTCTCTTAGAAGATTGAAAATCTTCGGACAATATGAAGCTTGCCGACCTGTCATTTACTTCATTCCACGACTTGGGTGGATTCTCTAGCAGGTCGTCCAAAAACCGGCCAAGCTTCAGGCCATGCAACAGGGCAGATAAGCAAATGGTATCGGGGACGTTATCAATGTCCAAAGTAGCTTTGTTGAATCATTGCATGTAGTCCCTCAAAGATTCTCCTTCTTTTTGATGAACCTGCATTAGTTCAGTCGCTGTACGTTTAATCTCCCTTTGGCTCGCAAATTTGTTGGAGAATAGCTTGGCGAGCTGGGAATATGAGTCTATGGAATGTCTGGGGAGTTTGTGATACCATCTCCTGGCTGTTGACTTGAGTGTTGCTGGGAACACTTCGCACATCATGGCATCATTAGCATTCTGGATTCTCATGATGGCTTGATAAGTGTGCAGATGTTCATTAGGGTCGCCCGAGCCATCATATGTCTCAAGGTGGGGAATTTTGAATCCCTCTTGATACGGCTCTGTTGTAATGGATAGGTTTAAAGGAGCGCTGTCCAAATCAAGAGTCTGTTGGTGCGACCTGGGACTTTTCAACTCGTCGATAGATTTCTGTACGTCCCTTAGCTGCCTTTCTAGGTCTGCATTTTTCCTCATCAGCTCTTCATTATGTTTTGACGAGCTGGGCTCGTTATTCAGCTTCCCACTTCCCCTTAGCCTGGTCGGCACTACTATGTTGCTTAGAGCGGGGGAGTTTTTAGTTGCAACAACCGTAGCTGGTTGTGCATCCCTGTTCAACAAAGGAATCAGGGGGTCATCAGGAATCAGATGGGCAAGGATTTTACCCATTGCCATTTCGAGAACTCTGGTTCTCTCTTCAAGCTTGGTTGTCTGAGCAGGTTCTGTTGACCTTTCAGGTCGTTCATGCTATGAATTGTATGGTCTAGAAGGTCTTTGTCTTGTTCCTATTGGAACTTGGAACTGTTCAGGTTGGGTTGCATACCCAGTTGGTGTTCTTTCGTCATCTGTTTCACTTAGGTGATCCTGTTCGGCCCCCCGACAAAAAGGTTTCTTGGCATTGGCCTAAAGTCATTCAACCCAGGCTCAGATATTTGGGCGTCCTCCTGTTCGTCCATCTCATTTCTTAGAGGGCGACCTCTTGTGAAAGTACGAACCATTTTGTCTTTCAGCAGGTTGAGCTACACAACTTCTTGCTCAAGTTCCCACAGACGGCGCCAAATGTTTGGGCAGCTTCGCAGTCCAACATTGTTGAAATCCTTAGCTGCTTTTACACCTGAAAATCCCGAGGTTGTTTCCTCGGGGAAAACACTTCGACGCTCAAGTCAGCAATACTCAATGTCTAGAGAGTGATGCTCTCAAGGAGTAATTGCAGAGAGAGAAGCGTAGAGATTAATTACCTTCATTGTTGGTAGTTGGGGGGTATTTATAGCCCCCAATGCTGACATGCATCCTTACATGTAAGTAACTCATTGGCCCACGTGGTGCTGCTCACGTGCGTACGTCTCCTCCTTTTGGGCCAGTCTGTGCATAGTTGGGCCTTTTAAATATGGCTCGAAGTGGGCGTTAGGCCTAATCCCAACACCCCCCTGCTGGAAATTCCGGATCTGCTCTGCTCCTCCTTTTCACCGCCGGCTACTCCTGCTTTGTGGGGTGTGATTTTCTCCCGTTTTTGGTAAGAAATAGCCATGAATCTCCCTTCTCTAGCTTTGAATTGCCTTGGGTTTACGTTA